AAGGTCGACAATTTCCAAGTAAAACCAATGTAGCAAGCCATAATCACTAAGTTAATATAAAAATGCAAAACATACCAGAATAGTGGCAATCATTACTGCATGAAGTATTATCAGAAGTATTTATTGCATTTCCACTAACTAGTTCATTTCCTGACTTGCTTGGACCAATTGATGCTCCGCCATTACCTGAATGATGGCAGAAAATTTTAAATTAGTTGTTGACAACAATCTTCTAAAAAAAGAACTACTTCATTTAAGTGAAAAATATTGTCAAGTAAAGTGCCCGTCTGATGTTAGTCACCAAAATTTATTAAAATGCCGATACATAAAATATAGACTATTATACAAGGGAAAAAAGGCCTCCAGGAATCAACCCTTTGATGGATCATCGTCGTTATCTCGTCGGTTTCCATAATTACAACAATATTTGGAAGCCAGAAAATTCAATCGTCTCTCGCTGTCATCATCTGATGTTTCACTTGATGAACTACAATATCAAAATTAATCAAAATTTCTATTTACCTAGTGTAGCTGCACTACCAAATGACGTTAGAGTTAATAATCAAACCTTGTGCTCCGTTGCGGTTTTACAGCATGATATCTTGAAGATGATCTCTGCTCATACCTTTGAACCATATCTGGTGACACTATTGCTTGACGTCGCCTGATCATGCGTACACTGCTATATGTAAGAGTTGCACCCAGAGAATCTTCTTTAGCAAGCTGAAATGGCAAAACTAGTACAGATGAGAAATGGGAAGAAAATACTTTTCCTAAAATTTCAAACTGTTTAAATTTCATAACAAATCAGAAACGATTAGATATCAGTCTCCCGAAAGATGTCAGTTTCCTCACCATTCAATTGAATCCATCAAAGTGCCTGGTTATCGTCTGCTACAACATTGCGGAGTTTTCTTGGCTTGTTTGAAACTTCTGGAACATACGTCTTGCCATGACTCGATAGTGCTAAACCGCCGAGAAAGGTGCCTCAGTTAAGTTCTGCAGTTATAGAAACTTATAAAAATGATACCTTCGGCTGAATAAAAAGTCGAGATGCGGATAAAGGCACAATCGATGCACCAGAAATACTACGGCGAGTTACAGTTTGACGTTGTTCTGCACCTTTATCGAATTCATATTCTTCCGTCTCCTATAAAAATTAAAGATAAAATTCTGTGATGAACATTTTTCTAAATGGGAAAAAATTTGACTTGATCTTAACGAAGAAAAATAAAATATTTGAAAAAAAAAATACCTCACAAATCCCAAGTAGGTGAGGCGATGAACCCAACTTCCGCAATCCACCAGATCCAGTGAAAGAAACCTTCAATCGACTGACTGCTAAATAATTAAATTTTCATCGAAAAGCATTATATATGAAAATCGCAAATTAGAACTACAAAGTGATTCAAATTATATTAGTGATAGCGATAGCTCAGGATCGTATACAAAACAATGATCAAACTTGACAAATACCAGGACTTGCACGACCGCTTGAATTTGGTGGACTAGAGCTTCGGCTGCTCAGACGACTATCCGGCGAAAGTGTTCGCCTTTTACCTTCTGCGATGTTCAATCGTGATAATTCCAATAAACCCTGTATGTCCTGAGGTGATATTCGTCCATGTGAACCAGAGTTGGAAGGAAATATCGACACAGAGCAAGATGAGTGCCTAAAAATATAAAATATGCATCTCTAAAGACTACAACCACTTTACTAAAGTTGCGACAATAGATCAGATGCAAGGAACCACTGTGAAACATTATGAATGATGAATCTGTAATGACAATGCGGATTGCAATATATAAGAATGTTATAAATGTCATGTATTGTTTTTGGAATTTACAATTTTCCTGTAGGAACATATTTTAAATTTAGTGTAAATAATATCTAGCAGAAAGCATGCAAATATTAGTAAGAACCAAATAACTGAGTGTATTATTTAGACCAAAGGAATCGAAAATACCCCTTGAATTACGATGGGAAATTATCAGTCTGCAACCATTACAAAAAAAAAAAAAAAAATCATGAAATGCATGGGAAGAATATATTAAAAAAACCTTGACGACTGCCTAGATGTACCGCAATGATATGTTGACAACTCTTCCTCACTTTCTTCTTTCAAAATTGTACATGGCCATCGGGAAACAGAAGTGCTTCCACGCCATGAATTGGATCGACTTCGACTTTTATAAATACTCCCTTCATCACTTTTTTCAACCGTTTCCCTATAAAACATGGTTATCTGCGCAATTATAAAAACCGAATCCAAAAATTGATCACACAATTTAAAACCTCACCGCTTAAGGGAAAATATTTATTTCAATTTAAGTCCAGTAAAGCAACGCTGAAGAATCAAAAAAGTAAAAGACCTTATTTCAGGACAATTTTTAAAGTCTGCTGGTAAATCGCTCAATGAAGGACGCTCAATCTCATGCGCTTTCCTGGCGCGTTCTTCACGATAAGATGCCAGAACTCTTTCAGCAAGTAAATAATAAGTGGCAGTAATGTATGAAAAATCATCATTATCTAGCGATCTGCAAATTTTCATTGATAAATGACACGCTAAAAACTTTAAAAGTTTTAAATTAGTCTTCACAGAAATATTCTTTACAAGCAATAGTTAGAGAGGTAATTTAATATGAAATACCTACTTACCGCAGAATATTTTCTTCTGTGTCAACACCACCAGCTACCATTTGGTCAATAATTGTAGTATGTGCACTTTCCGGAAGCACATCTCGACCAACCAAGGGTAAAATCTGAGCAAGACCGAGATCTCCAGCTTTCACCCACGAACTGTTAATAATTTCGCTAAGCGCTGCGCGCTTTTGGACATCTTTCACTAACATTCTTGATATGAGGCTGCAACCCAATATTTTACAGCATGAATAAACAGAAGCTTTTCTAAAAAGCTGTTCATCATGTCATGATATTTCCTCCAAAATCATAACTAATGAGACAACTACTGTTAAGAAACTACTGTTAAGAACTAAAAAGAATAGTGTGAACAAATTCACAAATGCAATAATAGCGGAAGGACAACATTTGTATAACTGCTTCTCAGTCAGAAAGTGTAATGGAAACATTAAAGCAGAAAATGTTAAATTTTTATTAAACCAAAGTAAAATTTACTATCGAGCATGTAGCGAAAGTGTATCTGGAAGAGAATACTTGCAATCTAATATTTTTGTCAAAGTTTCCGAGTCATTTGCTTCTTGGAATGGCAATCGACCACATAACAACATATATAAAATAACTCCCAGTGACCATACGTCTAAAATTCGTGATATAATCAGTGATAAGGAACTTTTTAATTAATTAGTTACCATAAACAGGACTTGTTATTGCAGGTTTTTAGAACTGTTCATAAGATTAAATAGTTTATTAGAATTTCAACTACGTTATGCTACACAAACTATTTTTTTTGAAGATTTTTATAAAACTTGTCCCAGTTTTTTCTTTTTGCTTACACTATACCATAGCTCAAACAAATCTGCTACTGATAGAATAAGATTTAGCAAATCTTCTTAATATTTTTCTTGATGAACTGAGAGAAGTTTACCAACGGCTGGAGCATCATAGGCATCCCCCAATAAGATTTCTGGAGCTGAATAAGCTAAACTACCACACGCAGTCTCAAGTTGCTCGCCAGGAATAAATTTATTGCTGAATCCGAAATCCGTCAATTTTACCATGCCCAGACGTTCGAAGAACACTACATTTTCAGGCTGCAATCATCATTAATATTTTTTATTTCGTTATTCTATTTAATTATTTTATTTAGCGATAATCATTTAATGATAATTTATTCACTTCAGTTATCGGTATATCATTTTCGTTACTTTTTCCAGATAGAAAAACTAGTTGAAATCAAAAGTTACCGGTAATATGCATAAGCTATTGTACCTTTAGATCTCGATGAACAACATGCAACTGATGACAGTAATCAATTGCTTTGATAATCTGGCAAAAATATTGTTGTGCTTCGCTTTCTGGACAGCCCTAAAAGATGTTTAATGTTCAAACAAATAATTTGCTCCAGTTGATCAAGCTACAACTCTTAACACACACACACACACACACACCGTAACCCGTATTTTAGAAAACACTATGTTGACACGAATTTTAAATGTTCACCTTATCAGCATTTTTTGTGATAAAATCATACATATCATAATCTCCTAATTCGAGAATTAAAAACAACTTCGTTTGTGTATCGATAACTTCATATAAACGAACTATATTTGGGTGCTGCACCAATTTCATACAGCGAACCTGCAATACATATGTAGGCACAAAAAAAACTTCCTATTAACGAAATAAAATGAGACTTGACACATTAAAGTAATTCTTTCTGCACCAAACGACACCTTTAATAAAACAATGGAAATAATATAATGAAATTTTAAAAACAAGGAACACAGTTTCTGAAGAGACATTCCTTTACGAAAGAAGTCAACAAAGATCACCTCTTTTATCAAATGAGATGCCATTGAGGAATCAAATTTTGTCTTATCAATCACTTTCACAGCTACCTAAAAATGTTCCAATATATGCATGACAACGAATTAATAAATAAGGTGCGGAATGTAATAAAAGGCTTGCCGAATTTGATTGAAACACATGCCGAAACATCCATTTTATCATATGAATATTTATAGTCCAATTCTGTGAAATACTTTGAAAAAATGATAAAAGAAAAATGAAAAATTAATAATAACCTTTTCACCCGTGAAAACATGACTTGCCAATTTAACTACAGCGAAATGACCTTTGCCTATGGTTTTTTGTAGATCGTAAAGTCCAGCGATTCGAGCATCACTGATACTTCGTGAAGGTTTCCGTTCTAATTGTGATTTATCTGTCATTCTATCACCACTTCCTGGTGGCACACAAATAGTTGTTAAAGAAATAACAGAATAGACAAGGCTTCATTTGCGTACTAACATTTTAAGGAAATTTTAAAAGACAGAATAGAACTAAGATAAAACAGAATTCATGCAGCATTCTTTTTGTGCTGAAATGACACAAATGCGACTTCTTTCGCCTTTTCACCTACAATATGTTAGTACTCTAAAAATTCAAAAGGTTTAAGTGCTTCAAACACTGAGCTAACTCACTTAATCACTTAATTAATCATTAACTGACTTACTTTTACATACGAACTAAACCAATGTATAGCATAATTACACCTCAAAAATGCGCCCTTTAGAGTCTCATTTATGTGGCCCATCAAATCTAACCTTCCAATTTCAACTCTTTGTATCTGCTTAGAATTACAGCATTTGCTGCCACTTGCTATTAGCTGCTAGCTATAACTTGCTTCAACTATTTGACATCATTTGAAATAGTAGCAATTTTGAGCAAGTAGTAGTTATTGAAAGCAAGTAATAACAAAGTAATAAAGCAAACTTTCAAGTAATAGCAAAGTAGTAAAGCAAGAAACAGCAAGAAACAAGTAGTAGAAAGAAGTGGAGCAAATAGTAGTAAGTGACAAGCTGAGAAACAGAAGTGTTTGTACTACCGTGTGGTAGGCATAGAATGTGGAAGGAAACCTACAGTTGCATGTCATGCATGCGTGATATGCAGTGGATAGATAATAGACGCAATGTGATATATATTGGTATCATTAATTACTTTCATAATAAAAACAGGGCAAAAGCGTGTCGTCAAGTTAATTGAAATTTAAATTTATGCTTGTATATATATATAGTGGAAAATTTACAGCTATACTACTAATTGAAAAATGAATGACTTTTTTATGGAGCAAAAAAAAATTTCAATTCTATTTCAAAGTTCATAGAATAAAAGAATTAATTATTGGAATAAAATAGCAAAACTATAGTTTGAATCAATATAGTGACAATAAAAGGTTTTTTCAGGTTTTTTCTCTCTAGTTTAATTTAGGAATAAAAGCAATAAGTAGTAAGTATTTTATTTGCCCTAACAAATTCGTCGTTCTTTTTTTTTCACACAGCATCAGATGTGCTCGAAAATTTAATCTTTCATTAAATTAGAAATCTGAAAGAGATGCACATGAAGAGAGTGCCATTTTATGGCTGAAGATATCAAAATGAAATCTCTTGCTATAATTGTTATTCATTCACATTGCTTTGCTTTTCCAATTATTCCCTATAATTTATATCTGTTTGAATAAATACACATTTTATAACATTTAAAGATAATTAATCGTCATAATCATTAAGTTTTAGGAGGAAAGAAACTAAAATTTTGAGCTATTTAGTATAAATTTAATTTTAGAAAAAACTTTTAACGAACATTTGAAGATATTTATACATAGAACTTAATTTACAAAAACCTTCAAAAAACATTTACAACATAAAGCTCTCCATTTTTTCATTTCATCTTTTTCATTTTAATTTGAAAATTTTCGGAACATTTATTACTGGTCCTCTATTAGTAGGCCTCGTTAAAAATGGAGAAATCGTCGCTGTTCCTTTTATTAATTTTACTTAGAAAATAGAAAGAAGTAATAATTGATCATAATTTAATAATCAAAATAAGAAAGGAATAATGATAATTGTAATTTAATAAAAACATTATAATTTAATAATTAATTGTGGTAGAACTAATTAATTAATCGTCAGCAAACAATGAGAAATCGAAAGAGCTCAAAACTGGTAAGTATTGCCCGGGAAATAATAGAGACGTGACAGGAAGAACATTAACCGAAGCCAATAGACTGCTCTCGACTTGTCACTTCTCACGGCCGCCGTGAAATATGACAGAGCTGCTGTAAGGTTAAGGATTGGGTTTGATAACTGAAGTAGGTACTTAACTGTCCTAGAAATTGGTGATTATTAGATGAGTAGCCATTGGTTATCGTTGATTTGTGGCTTTAATTATTTAGAATAATTTCCAGTGTTGCATTTTTGCATGCTGAGGTAGTGGCAAGATATATGTCAGTGTTAACCATTGAAATTTTGTTTTCAAACAAATCGGATTTGAAGGCAACGAAAGTGCCATGTGATGTACAATCGCAGAGTATTTTTTCGTAAATGTAATTCAGTTTTTTTTTTTTTTTTTTTTTTTTTCAGAAAATAAAAGATAAAAATGGAGAATGGCAATGCTTCACGTTTGGATTATAATTTGTCACCTTTGCTCAGCAGCGATTCCGAAACAAATAATGCTTATGTAATATTTAGAGGTAAAATGACATACTGTTTAAAAAAGTGTTACACAATGAAATGGTTATTTATGTTGAAGATTTGGGGGAATATATTAGTAGCAAAAAATTGGCTGTCTGACATAGGCATGTTCACAATGAGAACGAGAACAAACTGTGTATTTTAGTTATAACTAACGAAGTTTAAAATAGTGGAATACTGTCTTCCTACTTATCAAGTATACTTTTTAGATTGTACCTGTTCTTGTTTTTCTTCAAATATTTAAAAAGGTCTATTTTTAAAAGGTCTTTAAAAGGTCCATTTTTGTCTTTATTATGGTAAATAGCAATTATGGACGGTAACATATTCAAAATAAATTAGAAAAAAAAAGTTGATATAGTCAGACTTTTTGGAGTGTTTGCATAGTTGGCATAATGAGTTCCATTAGAGCCGTTGGGACACTATGTCATATAGTTGTTGCTGACAGTCAGTTACTGCATTTGCTTGCCGAATAGCTATGTGAGTAAATGGCATCACAATCCTATGGATTTTATAATGAGAATTTATGGAAGAACGTAAAGAACTTTTTGATTTGAAAAGTTTAAGAAACAGAATTTGTTGCAGAAATAGATGAAAGTTATGCACAAACGCGAAGTGATCGCATCCGTGCCGCAATGTTTCCTGATTTATGTCCTGACAAAACTAGTGGCATGGGATCATCATCACATCGTTCAACAATTGTCTCAAAACTAGCAGAACCAAGCCAATTGTTAACAACCGCAGTTGTGGAATTGCTCAGTCTTCAGGATGAAGCAGAATTAACGACAAAAGCAATTCCGGAACTCGTAAAATTACTTGCGGATAAAGATGAAGTCAGTTATTTATACGAAGGACTTTTTATGTTTGAAATCTCCTTATTGTAGAAACGGAAACATTATCTTATCCAAAGTAATATAATCTAAACTGAATTATGCGAAATGAAATCGTTAAATTAATCACAAAAGCAAGTATAATCCCTAACCATGAATTTCAAGTTATTATAATTACAGTCAAAATACATCTTACAATCAAAACATTTCGCCTTAAAAGTGGTTATTTCTTAGTCTAGAGATCTGTGAACACTGCTCTTTTCTGGGATTTTTTTGCTACATCGTACTCATATGTCTGAAAATATTGCTAAATTGTTTGAGGAAATGATAATCGGTGACGAGAGGATAGGTGAATATAAAAATGATAAAACATTATGCGTAATCGTTCAGCTTTTGAAGCGTTGATTGTTAGCTATATAAGTTAAGCACTTTCGTTACATATAATTGATTTGCTAAGCTCACTTCTCAGATATTGCTAATATCTTAGAATCTATATTTGTCTTCAAATAGTGGTTATGGTCTTTTTTTGTTCAAGTTTTATTCTCAAATTTGCAAAGTTTTTTTCATCCTAACTATTAAGTGAGTTGTCGTTGTTATTGATGCAGTTCAGTTTTATTGTCATAGATTTTTGCTGTTCTGTCAAATCATAGAAGAAATCATTTCAAAATAACTTATGATTTCCAGTTAGTTTATAGCTAAATGTAAAATCAGCTTCCAGAGTTGCTATCGGCTGGCCATTGAAGATAATTATTTTTCATTTTCAATACTTCAGTCGCTTGACTTCTTTAATTGCCATTGCTTTACACGTTTGTAAGCTGTCAGACAATTTCTGGGTCAGACGCATTGTTAATATCTCGAATTATTCCACAACTTATTTAAATTTGTCCAGCTCTTTTTTTGTCCAACTTCATTTCCTCAAACTGTAATAAAGTTGAAATGAGCAGTTTATAAGTCATTAACAAGAAAAAAGAAGAATAAACCCATTAGATCGGATTTACCTAACCATGCATTCTAATATTAGTAATTTCAACAATACAGGAATTAGTTCTGCATCAAATGAAACACTTATTTTTGACTGACCGTTTTTTGTCCAACATTTTTATCTGCTGATATTGTTGATACTAGAAATGAATGAATGATTAATTGCTAAATAAAACAAACTATTTGATTCATTCTGTATTATTTTTAGTGCTTAATACTGGGATGGCCTGCCACTCCATTTAGTGCATCTTTGTGAACTACTTCACACCGGGAATAGCTTAAGTATTTGATAAAGGAAAAGTTCCTCATTTTAAGATTCAACTGTCAGAATTAGGTTTTTAAAATATAAGTAAGTATTATAGACAGTGATTATGCGAGCTGTTCATATGGTGCATATGTTATCTCGTGAAAGCAAATCCGTGAATGCAATAGCTTCAAATGCAACTCTTGTAAATGCTTTGTGCAGTATTGCCAGGTCTTATTATTGATTTTTGTAGAATTGATTTTTGTGTAAATATTGTTTGATATTGTTACGATTCAAAATGGCTAGAGATTTACAAAAAAAAAAAAAAAAAAATAGAGTTGGTTGATTATAAAGGACATTTCAGATTGGAAAATGACACTATACGAAGAGATGCACTTGGTGCTCTTTCACATATCTCAGAACATGCAGAAGGACGTATGCAAATATTCCGTTCTGGTGGTATTCCGGAGTTAGTTCGAATGCTTGGCATTCCATTGGATCCTATTCGTTACTATGCCATTACTACGCTTCATAATCTGGTTCTTTTCATGGACTATGCAAAGGAGGTCAGTTTCTTTTCTCCTTTTTATTTAAAACAAAGACGTTATATTTAACAAAATAAGGACTTTATAATTAAACTCTTCCTGTTGTCGAGAATAAAAACATTCCATTAAATCTTTCTTGTTTTCTCTTCGAATCTATTTGCAGGAAACAAGAGCATGTGGAGGTTTGGAAGCGATGACACCACTTCTACGGGAAAATAATCCACGTTTTTTGGCACTATTGGCAGATTCTCTCTATCTTTTGTTACTGGACAATCCGCAAAGCAAACTCTTATTTCTTTCCTTAAGTGGTCCATCATCGTTAATCGGTCTTTTAGATACACATCGTCATTATCCAAAACTTGTTTATACTGCGGTGCGCTGCATTCGAGCGCTCTCAGTGTGCCCACAAAACAAAGCCGCGCTCATTTCTCTTGGTAAGAATTTTGTTCATAGTGAGTTGTTTCACGCTTTCCTATGTTATTTCATATTCGTAATGAGTCATTTTATAATTAGGTGGTACGAAGTACCACCTCTTTTGACGTTGTTATAATAATGTGAGTTGTAATTCGGAACTAATTGTTTAAAATTCTATATTAGATGTATAAAACTGCTCAACTGTATTAAATTGACAGAGGAATCATCTGTTGGTACATTCAGTTTCCTTTCATTGATTATTTCATTTTCACTTTTAGGAATACTGAATGTTTTGGGTGATTTCATTGATAACGTCGATGATAGAACTCAGTTTGCCATTTTATGCGCTATTCGCAATTTATCAGATGCAGCCGCTAATGAAAGCAGCTTAGGACCTCTGATTATCAGTTTAATTCATATCGTTGCCACTGGTGAAGAATCAACAAGTGCATGTGCTGCTGGCATTCTGTCAAATTTAACCTGCAACAATATCCGTAACAAACAAACCTTATGTTTCAACAGGTTAATTGATTTTATTGTATTAATTTTAGACCTGCTATTGAGAGGTTTTTGCTTTAAAGTGTTGATTCTTTTTGTTGAAAAACAAAAAATAGAAGTATAGCTTACATTTGCTTACATTTTAGAGGAATGGATGCTTTATGTAGTGCACTTGAACGGTTTTCGACAGTTGAGGAGGTCACAGAGCCAACGCTTTGTGCATTGAGGCATTGTACTGCTCGACATCCACTGGCGTCACAGGCACAAAGTGATATTCGCTTATCACAAACTTTGCCTGTTATTTTGGAATTAATTTCATCAATGCGAGCACCAGTTGTGAAAGCAGCTCTCGGACTTGTCCGGAATCTTGCACTTCTGCCTGCTAACTTGCATCCCCTAACCCATGTATGTATCATTGAGTTGTGGTGAATTTAAGGAAAATTTGCTTTTCATTCGCCTTCAATAATTGAAACTTTCTGCGCCATTCCTATTTATTTTTTAGATATGAAAATTGAGTTTGCAGGAGAAAACATCAAAAGGAGAATCAGTAGTTACTCTAGCAGTGGATGTTTTGGGACGAGCTGGTACCCAGCTCCGTCAGGATCCGGACGCACTAGCAGATGGTGTGGCAATGCGTGAATTGGTTGAAGGTGCCGTCTCAGCATTACATCAGCTTGGAAATGATCCTCAGTCAGCCGATCTTATGCTTCGTGACCATCCGTTTGTTGACATGCTCATCAAAGTTAGACATTTTGCTCTTTTGTTTGTTTTTTATTCAAAATATTTATTTAACATAATTTTTGCAAAGTTGGGTTTTACTCACATGTGATTTAATTTTGTGTGTATTATAAGCTCAGCTTTCTCCTAATTCGAAAAAAAAAATTTTTCAGCTGCTTTCATGGGAAGAAATATACGCAAATGATGATGAATTGTTACAACGTGAACTTCTTGGACTTCTTTACCAACTCTCAAAGACTCCAGAAGGTGCACGGCAGTTAGATATGTATGGACCAACGCCTGTACTTGTTGATGCATTACATTCCAAGCACAGAGCAATTTGTAGGTTTCGTTCCAAATTAGAAATAGATAATTTGTTTATAACAATATTTAACGTTTCCTGTCTACGTCGGTAGCAACTCATATAGATAACAATCATAAGTAGTAAATGATAAAGTGATAAATAACTGCTATTTCCAGTTTATACCTTCAGAATGTAACCTGAGACATCGTACTGATGCTGAGTATTAATTAATTGTAGGTTTAAGAAAAAAAAAAAACCTAGAATAGGTCGAGAACTGTTGCCTGATTTTGTTGAGATGAAATGAATCAGAAGCCGGTCCAAAATATAGCTTCTATTTATAGCAACATATGCGTCTGGTGTGTTAAAAAATCTTCAATTTGATAAACCAATGATGTATCGTGGAGAACTGGACACAGAAATTGAAAGTGTAATAAACAGTGGTGAAGAATGGATGCATGATGGTCTAGAACCGGAGCTTTTTGCTGAAATGTACCATTCCTCAGAAATGGAACAGCTAGATCATCCTCAGTCATGGCAACATCCTCCACCTTATCAGACCAATAATCGAAGTCCTTTATGGTTTGATACTGATCTTTAATTGTACAGTTTTCTCTATTTTATTAAAAGTTCTTTCAATCTACTTTGCAGTTTTGCAGTAAAAATTTAGCTTAAGTTATTGGTATCGACTTTTCATTTATCTTCTATCCTGGCGTAAACTTCTTTTCTAGCAGAAGCTGTGACTGCACACTTTAAGCCAATAATGGCTCAATTTTAGCTTTCACATATATTTCACAGAGTTTTTATAACTAATACCTCTATTTGTTATTATCATATTTCTTCTTGAAGAGCGTTTTTCTCTTCAAACTCTATTCCAATTCTCTCTATTATTTTAAATTTTTTGAACAGTATTAGATATTTGATATTCTTTCTTTTTTGTTCCATGGATCATACAGAAATATGATCGAACTGCCGATTTTGATGAATATTAAAGCACGATGTAGAGTTTTTGACGTACTTGATTAAAGAGCTAAAACAATATATATTGGTGACAAATGATAATATTTTGTCTGAATTCTCATGGCGGTGATTGTAAACGTAAAAATGGGCTTGTCTATTCAATAGGTTTCTCAAAGGTCGAATTTTTTTTTGTTAGATATATCTCTGCTGTGTTCACTTCGATAGTTTGTTTAATGACAATCACTTTTCGCTTCTATTTCTATTTCGTATATGTATTACTGCCTGCGTATTGCTCGATGTGATTTCCTAATTTTGTTTCCTTTGCTTAATGCGGAAAATAATTTATATATTTTTAATGAAGCATGTGCAACTTTATAATTTTTTTTTAAAATCATTCAGTGTGGTGCTTAAGATTTGTTTTGGCCCACAAGGAGTAGAGTGAGATATATTGTTAAGTTTCATTACAGTTACATAACTTTTGTTTGTTTGAAGTTGTTGCAGTTCGATGTTCGGATTATTTTATACTGTCATTTTATTACCATTTTTCTTTTTTCTTTTTGTAATTAATTTTTACGATCGAGAATTTACAACATTTTTATTTGAAATATATTACGTTCTAAATTGGATATTATCAAAATTCAAAAAATTCAGCTATAGTTCTGGCTTCACTATTTTGTACATAAGTGAATAAACATTCCCTATCATGTTACGTGTTAACAAAGTGGCGTAGTGAATTCATATCAGCTGATATTTATTCACTCTCTGTAATATAATATCTTTGCAGGAAATGTTAGTATCATCGGAAGCGCTAACTCCTTAATTACTTAAGTTTGTGTTTACTGTAAATATCTTTACGCGAATGGAAACTTTCAAATGAAAAAAGTTTTCTTCTGTTTCTGTCTATAATAAATTTAATATATCTAAATATAATAAGATAAATAAATTTGATATTTGACCGAGTGGTTAATGAAGTTAGCAGCCTAAGTATGAGAGAATTTATAGATTATTCTCTTTAGCAGTGTTTTTATCCACACATCGATTTGGTTATTGGTTTTGGAAGGTTTGATGGTGTTTGTAGTAATAGTTATGGTTTTACGTAAGCACTTACCATTACAGCGGTTTTATTTCGGCAAATCAAAAAGGTGTTGTTAATGGAATGGAAGATTTCGAGGTGCATGAATGTGATTTGTTTGAACATGAGCCTTACGCAGTTGATTGCTTAGCGTTAGACGAAGGAAAGGGTATTCTGTCAGTTGCGCGGCATTCAGATTTCGCGTAAGTTTTGCTTTTGCTTATTCATTAAATTGTCGAAGTTTATTTGATACTATCAATTTCCCGATATGTGGTTTTGTGTTCAATCATTTTCATGTCTACTTTACTTCATTCGTTATTCAATTCAGTCTTCTATTTTCTTATTTTCTTCACTTTATTTAATGGTGTTATTTTTTTTTTTTTTTTTTTTTTTTTACTTACTGGTACGTCAGTTTTAATAAACAGCCATCACTATTAAGATTTTAGCTGCTCTTTGACAAAGTTTCTGTAAGCCTACAAGTTATTCTCACAGTAAGAAGTGCTCTTTCTTGTTGCAGCAGGAAGATATTTTTACTACTGTCTGCTCATCTTTTAATTTGTTTACTTTTCTGTCTCTAATTTTTGCATTTCTAAAAAATTAGATTGCATTAGAAATTTTTGAATCTCACTTTTTGCACTTTTTAATGAAATGTTTTGGAGAGATGAAAAACGTGATGGGATAATTGAATTTTGGAATGTAATTGGTACGCCAATGTTTTATGTTCGGAGCACATTTCTTGGAACTAAAACTGCCGAATCACTGCTTTGGAAAAGCGATATTTTGCTTGCAGCTCATTTAGATGGTTCGATAACAGGTCATCGTCTTCATACGTCAGAATACTTTGTGAGTTTTATCAACTACAAAATTTTTTGGGTTGATTTGAAATTAAATACTTAACAGTTGTAGGCATAAACAGTGTTAGAAACTTTTTTAATTTTTTTATTTTTTTAAAAATTTGTTTAGCTAACAATCAGATCAAATACCGAAGTGAAATAATTATTGCAGTGTTCTTTTAATAAATTTATTTACTCAATGACTCCCATTTTCTACATTAAATTTTTGAAATTTATTGTATCATTTACGTCTTAGACTGTTCGACTTACACCAAGTCCGCTGTGGTGTTTGGCTTCAATAACGGGGAGTGCCTTCTGTGCTGGTTCAGGTTCAGGAGCTGTGCTAATTTTGTCTTTGGAAGAAAATAATCATATTGCTTTGAACAAAACAGTATCTATTGGTAACTTTCATTTTATTCTCCTGCTTTTACCACTGATTTATCGAATTCGAGAAATTTTTGTTCAGCTCTAGGGAGAATTAATAAAATAAATGGATGATCTAATAATTTGATGTTCTTGTTATGGCTTTTGGTTGAGAAGCTTTTGAAATTCAAGAATAATTTTATTTGATTTCAAACAAAATTATTTTAAATACAAAGAATTATAATTGAATAAGTTTAAAAAAATGAATTATTGTCAGGCTTTAGTACGCATGTCATGTCACTGGCATGCAATAACGAAATTATCGCTGCTGGAACGATAGATGAAATTAGTCTTATAAGCGTGTCGAAACAACGAATAGAATATAGAATGAAATTACCTCGGATTGAAAAACGGAAACCAACTGTTGTTTGGTGCTTATGCTTCATGTAACTTATTTTCATTTTCATTTCATTATTTTGCAGTAATTTCTTTTCATGTATTAGAATAGTTGTTTAGAAGTTTGACCAATTTTTTGAAACACTTTTTAATGTTCAGTGAAATAATTCTCTCCTTTTTTACGCTGTTTTTGCTATTACTCAATATTTTTAAAACTTTGAGGGGCACTTTTTTCTACGGAAATAAAGTCAAATCTGATTTGATTCGTAGTTTTAAAGGAAAACTGTAAGGCAATAATTTCAGCGGCGATTTATTGGCATCGGGTGATTCACGAGGATATGTAACATTCTGGAATGCATCGAATGGTGCATTTTCACAAGTAACATTTATCGTACATCTTTCTCTTCTTTTTATAATGAAAAATTCATTATTTTAGTGGATTATCTCAGAAAAATCCTATTTTTGAGAGGAAGTGATATTTCAGTGTTTGCAAACACATCAAAGTGATATTTTATCGATAACTGTAATGAATCACTCACTTTATGTCGCTGGTGTGGACCCTACAATTGCACGACTTGGCCTTAATCAGGTTTATGTATTTACTTGCTGCATCGATAGAGAAGGACAATAGGATTCGAACGAGCTAGATTATGAAAGTTCTGAGACAAAAATTCTTATTTTGACCAAAATCGTTGATTAGATGAGCATATGTGGAAGGAAGACGGCCACATGAACATTGATAAAGCCTCTCTTTTTCACATTTCAACTTTGAAAATTAATTTTAGGAACATACTGCATATCGCATTGAACATCGAAGAACAATTCATAACAGTGACGTACGAGCTCTGGTTGCATCGGAACATACAACGGCTCTCTATTCTGGTGGTGCCGATTACTACTTTTGTGTTAGTAATCGTTCTAAACATGTTGACGCTTTAAAAAATGTAAGATTCTAGTTTTTTTTTTTTTTTTTCGTGAATTTTCCTGGCTTTAAATAAATGTTTTCTCACTATTAGCAGTCACTAGATTTAGCACAGTTGCTATTTATGTTGATCCAACATGTTTTGTGTGGGATGTGATCTGTTACAGATGAACTGTGTTTCTTATCAGAAACAGTTACCTCAATGAAATATTTTTTAGATAACTTGTAATGTTGTTGAGAATGCAAATTTCTTTTTCTATCAGTACGATAGTCGCATTGTTATTTGGAAAGCTGGTAAACCTACTACAGTAGCATCAGAGAAAAGGATTCATTGCTTGGCAAAGGGTCCAGTTAAGTTAGCTCAGTTGCGGTCTTATCGTGGAGAATTCATTGTATCAAGGTGAATTGATTTTATTATTAGCTTTTATGGCCAACCTTTTGCATTATGAAAGTCATTTTCAATGACAGAACCACTTTTGCTGTGTTAACTAATAGACATCCTCTTAACAGGACAGGTGCAGAAAAAAAATATGCGAATATTTTTTCTTTTTTCTACATTTGAATTTCATCTCCTTAATGTGCCATTTTGTAAAAGGAAACATATTCAATACATTCTCACTCTGTTATTGTAGTAATTAACTTTCTACTCTATCTTTTAGTGCACTGAACAGTGAAGGCAAATTATTAGCAGTTTCTACAGTTTCTACAGCAACCATTTATAAGTTGGATCTCAATTCCTCGAAAGAACTCAGCATATCTGTCCTGAAGAGAATGCTTATTTCTGGAACAGGATTGCTATTTACATCAACATCTTTGTTTATTGCATCTGGATGTCTCAGGATATATGACTTACCAATTGATAATTCTATACCACAATATCCAAATGTAGTCGCTGAAAGAGGTGCTTCTGTTACTTTTATGTTAATCACTCTTCGTCAGAGCAGAGTTTTCAATTTTCTTCTTGACAAGTATTTTATAAACAATAAATTTATGGAGTCTCACCATACAGCATTGACGGGATAAGATACATGATGCTTTTATATGAATGTTGTTGGTTTTCAGATAATGCTGGTGAGGTAGTTCGACTACACTCTAACATGAACGAAATGTCTCTTGTATTACTCACAGCACGAAATGAGCTTTTTATTCTGGAAATCCGCAAAAAGGTTTTTTTTTTTTTTTTTTTTTTACTAAGAGAATTTTAAAGTTGCCATCTGTAATTTGGTATGTTTTATTTTCTTACTTTTTTTTTGTCACCAGTGCTATTATATAACATCTTAACAGAAATTTTCACTATCTTTAATTTGTTATATAGCACGTTTAATTATCATTTCTCATTCATAATAAGTTCATCCTATTTACGTCTGTTTATATCAATGTCGTAAGAGTAAATTTTTGTTTTTCTATTATCTATAAACATAAATTCTTTGCTGTTAGTGAATTTTTTCATCTTTCTCGTCTTTTGCTTCTGTTGTGTTTTTTTCTTTGATTTTTTTATTTCCATAATCTCTGCAAAGTTCTCTTTCTTTAACTTTTGTTATAATTGCTAATGACCTAATATTCAAATAATTTATTGAACTGATATTACGGAGAGAAATATTTAGCAGCTTAACATAGCTCTCCTTCTGATAATTTTTCCAATAAAAATGATAATTTTTTTATAGACATTACGAAAGTTGGAAATTCCCGGCACAAACATTTTTATTGATGCTCAATTTATCAGTCTTACTTCACTTTATATTCTATGCGCTGACAGAAAATGTACACTTATCGAATATGACACCGATACAAATATTCTTAGTGACAATACGATTTCAACGGAAGCACTATGCATGTTACCGGACGAATCAGTTTTACAAATGGATTGCAATAGTTCAAATGATGTTGTTTTGAGTGGTTCACGGGGTAGTTTTCGAGTTATTGCTGTTATCAACGGAGTAAGATCCTAATTTGGAAGTTTTTTTCTTAAATATATATAGAAAAAATCCAATTTTATTATCGAGGAAAAGTCCGTTTTAATATTGTATAGAAAAAGAAGGCTTAGAAGACGCGGAGAAGATAGAAGATATGATGGTACATAATACATATATACATAGTATATATCCATATACATGCATGAAGAGAAATGAAATGCATTGGTCAAAATAATTTTCCTTTTTTCAAGTTAAATTAAGGATGCATAAAGCTCATAAAACCCTTTTGTTGGATATATATATATATAAAAAAACGGTATTGAAAACTTTTTCGAAAATTTCAATATTTAAATTGTAAGAAATAATGAGACCTGCCATTTTTTGATTAGGAATTGGTAGGTGGCTTCCTCCCGAAAATTTAATTTTGGCCAGAAATACGATAGCTCTATATTTAGTGAGCAATATATATTATAGATGATAATTTACCAGATCGGCGTTGGTGAATAGTTAGCTAGAGCATAGTGGCAAACCCCAATATACATCTTTACATGGTTTGCGAATTGGTGGCCATCCAAAAACACGATTAGTTTCGTGTGCATCCTTGATTTTGCCTTCTCTTTACTTTTAAGGCTTAAACTTAGAGGGTGTGATGAACTTGAATTGAGACTCATCGGTGGATGTAAAAGAAAATGACTAGAAGGAATAGAGAGAATTCATGACGATATTATCCATACACTGTTTAGAAGAATGAAGTAGAGTTGGAGAGTAATTCTTGGAAAGTAAATGATGTAGCCGGATGAAGACATGTGAGAGACAAGACCTTGATGCAGTACCATCTCTAATATACTCTTTACACTCTTCGTTTTGCCTCTAAACCTAACATACTGCTTCTCCTCAATTCGCTTTTAATATTTTATTTGCAGAAACGAGTATTGCTATATGGACCAGAAGCATGCGCACTGAAGAAAACGGAAGAAGATGATGGAGTATGCTTGATGCGTAGAGATCGATGCAGCCAAGCCTTTTGGTTATCAGCCCGAAAATTGCTCTTCACGACTCCAATTATGCTTGCCGAACCTTCCCAAACCGCTTTTCGACTTAAACGCTACGGCCTAAATTGATAACTATTATCATATTGGTATTTGTAGACGATCACTTAAGTTTTCCAATCAAGACGTTATTTTTAGCAAATTATTTGAAATGTTTTTATAAAGAGGAAGGAAATATGTCATCATTTTTTAAATATTATAAAAAACATTGAAATCTTTTTATTCATTATTGAAGATATGAATGCCATTATTGTTCATGGGAACCATTACATTGTTCTGGAAGTTTCATAATTTTTATGAAACAATTGTCGTTCTGTAATTGCTTATTAGGACGTACTATTGCTACCGTCCTTCTATTCTGTTTATTTTCTATGTCGATAGCTGTATCAAATCTGTTGTTATTGTTAAGAATATATTGTTAAATTATTATTCGCCGATATACAGCAACAATAACTAAGGTATCCAAATTTGGAGAAACAATTTCATTAAGCAGTAAACAAATTGCTAAACAAATAAGTTAATCAAGTGGGTGGACAGATAAATGAATGAATGTTGCTGTCCTGTTATTGGCTTTTATGATAGGTGTTACAAAGTCAACAGAAGGACAACAACAACAGCAACAACAAAAACCAGAGAAATCACAGAAAATATGTGAAACACAGGAAATTCATGGGAAGGAAGTATCAGGAGGTTATTTGACATCTCCCAATTATCCATTCAGCTATCCGTCTAATCAGGACTGCCTTTTTAACATCACTGCCTCTGCAAATTTGGTAATTCATCTGACTTTCACTCATTTCCATCTGGAAGACCGTATGTTACGCTCTAATCAATGCCTTAATGATTACGTGATCGTTACTGTGGTGGATTATCAGGGACGTGAACATATCGGTGAACGTTTCTGTGGTAATCAACTCCCTGAACCTTTGCATACCATGCAAAATTCCGTTTATATTCGCTTTCATTCTTCACATACGAACGAATACTCAGGTTTTCGACTACGTTATCAATTCTTGACGGAAGGTTTACTTTCATTCATTATTATTATTTTTTTAAACTTAAATTTATGTGATAAATTCACATTTTCATCTAATTCTTAAATTTTATCTTTTTACCATCAATCATGAATCTTTCTCATCCTCTCAGTGATCAAGATATCGATTATTAAAAAAGAACAAATTCTTTAAGATAGAATTTTTTTTAAAACAATCTCACTTATATTAAAATTTTATAATTATTTTTTTTTTTAAAAGTTCAAATGAAAAATCAGAGTAGATAGTTGAAGAAAAAAATTAGGAGTAAAATGATGAATGAGAATAAAACGTATAAAAGAGTTAAAGATGGCGGAATGATGATGAAATAACAGAAGTGGTGAATGGAATGATTTGGAATGTAAGAATTGAAATTTCTGAAAACATTCTTCATTTTAATATTTACATACTTTTTGAATTTAGCACAAATTAACAGCTGGAACATTCTAAATCCATGTTACATCTATGCTTTTAATAAATGTTGCAAATGATTTTTGATTACAGCGAAATGAGCCATTAAATTTTACAAGTTTTTTATACAAAATGCTAAGGAACAATTTAAGCTTGTTCAATTCTCCATAATATCCAGTTCAGATAAGTTTTTCCCTGTTGAGTTAAAAGTGAACTCTTCCTGATCTGTATCTTCCATCCTTTTTTTCTCAATTCTCAATACTGCAACCGATATATAAGTTTAAACACATCGAAGTAGTAAATACTGATTGACATTTATATTGCATTAGCAGTACTGGATAGTTACACTTATTTCTTTTGATTGTTTTTTAGCAATTAGTGCGAAGAATTCACAAAAATTAGTTACGCATTTCACGGTGATATTACGCTACGAACTGTACGCTTCTATTAAAGCATCAAGGATGATGAAAACATCAAGATTAAGAACATTTCCGAATACTTATTTACGCCAAATTGAAAAGTACATGAATATAATTAAAAACTAAGAGGATTAAAAATTTTCCTTCTGACCACCATACTCGTCATTTTCATATTTCATTATTTTTGATTTAAAAATTATGATCAATGGTGATAATGGTGATGATGAGGAACACAAAATAACTGTGATAGCAATGATAACTCGTCGAAAATGATAACAGTGATAACTTTTATCTTGTTGATTAGTCATTTCTACAGTAATATTCTCCTTTATTAATATTAGCAGTACCGTTCCCTATTGTTGGAATTTAAAAAAAAAAATGAAAAAAAATTTCATTATAAAAAGGTAAAATAGCCAAAAGTATCTCTTCAAAATGAATTTCATATATGATTAATTTAAATTAAAGTTATAATTCTTCAAGTATTTCTTTAATACTTGGTTTTCCAGAATCAATATTTGAACCAGCTAGTAGTTATTTCGACGATGATCTAAGATATCTGAGATATTGCGGTGGGCATAGTAATACAAAGACATTCAATGGTGAAATACGAAGTCCTGGTTATCCGTCATTTTATCCAAAAAATGTTACTTGCAATTGGTTGTTACGTGTGGATCCTGGTAAAAAAATATATATACGTGTACAATATCTGGAATTATCATCGACGATGGGTTACTATTTTATTTAATAAACTAATTTCTGATGGAGAACTTTTTCACCAATCAATAACTGATACATATATATATATATATATATATATATATATAATGTATTGTATCAATTACTAACTATTTAATCAACATTTTGATTTTATCTGATAAATTAACTTCTGATAAGGAATTTAATTGAGCATTTTCTTATCAACAACTGAAAGATGTATTTGTAGCGGAATGTGATAAGGCATCAGTGTATATAATAGATGGTTATCGTCATGACTCAACAACGGATATTGTTAAGAAGGATGATGCAAGTCAGGTGAAATTCTGTGGCAGTCAACTTTATTATACGGAGGAAGGTATGAAGTCATATATGTCCACCGGAAATCGTCTCATCGTTCGGTATTATCTTATTTCCTCCTTTTACTTGATTTAATAGTAATCTACCATCCGGAAATTTTCATCTATTATCCAATGAAACAACAATAATATTATTTAATACTTAAAACAGTACTTAAAGAGATATTATGTTTCTTCACCTGTCTCTTATTAAACAAAACATATAATAGAATTAATTGATATATAACATGTTAATTAGCATTAAATAATTGCAACTATTTTTTAGATTTGTAACAAAAGATCATCCAAGTCCATCATTGCTAACAAAGTATGAGAAACAGGGTAAACCCATTGGTTTCCGGTTAATATGGACTGAAGTTGAAAACATTTTACCGGAAGGGAATGTTTGTCCGGTACTTCAATTTTTCCTTGGAAAAATTTTCATATAAAAAATTGGAAAAAAATTTATATTTATCTCACCTAAAATTTTACCTTAATATGTGATCATATTACGGATAACTGCTAGTTAGTTATTTTAATTTCCAAAAGCTAAGTTGAAATAAAAAGATAAACATGATGATAAGAAATTGATAGGGGGAGAATAGGCACTGATAAGTGATTAGAATTAGCAGAACAATTTAAATAAATGACATTTTTGTTAAATGATACGATGACATTAACATTTGTGCTTGAGATGCAATTATGCTAGCAATTACGGTAGTTACTGCTTCTAGTCGGAAATAATTCTGAGAAATTGAATTAAAATACTTTACTGAAACTCAAAAATACTTAATTGAATAGTCATTCTCACCTAGGTTAAGTTTTTATTGTTAATGAGAATTTTAAAGCATTTATGATTGACATTTAAATAGACGTATATGTAGCTTATTCCTTGGCTTTTAAGCGTCAAATTGACATTTCTTTTGTTCTTCAGGAATAAACCCAAAGATTTTTCATCATGAATTTAAATTTATTAAAAGGATATTGAAATTTTTAAAGACAATTTAATGACATTAATACAAAGCAAAAAGAAAAAAATTACAGGGCTTTGCTTGCAAAGGTGGCGAATTATGCATTGATGACGGACAGAACGTTTGCGCAAGTCGAACGCAATTATGCATCGATAAATCACTCATCTGTAATGGTGTATACAATTGTGCTGAAAATGATTATACGGATGAAGAAGACTGTAAGTTACGTCTCTTCTCTCACTTATTTAATGTTAAGATTCTAGCATAAAATGTAGCATAGTTTCAAATATAAACTCTGAAAATATGTTCACGGAATTTCCAGAAGTTTTCCCAAAATTTCAATTACACATAACGACGCAATTAAAGTTAAATTACTGAATTTTTTTTTCATTAACTGCTTACTTTATTTTACTTAAAATCAAAATTAACTGCTTACTTTATTTTACTTTAACTTAAAATCCTTTAATGTTAATAATGAATTTGAAGAAAAAATATGAATTTTCGTTACGTCTCATTGCCTCATTAGAAAAGCGGTAATGTCCTTCCTAAATTTCAGTATCCTTGTTTGATATTAAAAAACTTGATGTAGATCAATTGATAAGAATAATATCGTATCCATTTATCTGCATTTGTCATTTGATATTCTTAGGCTATTCTCAACATATTATCATATCAATATGCTCACTAATCTTCCTCCTGATAATATTCATCACATCGGTGTTTCTGTGGCAACGAAAAATTAGGCGACGTGTCGAAGAACAAAAGCGTAAACGTCTCGAAGCTGCAACAATGGGATCAGCCTCTTTAGCGGACAGTAATGGGAAAAATGCGGTCATTTGGGAAGCAACAAGGTGTTCCTCGATGAATGTTGACCCTTCGTTGGACATTCATCACCTTCATCCTGGACATTATCGGACTCACTGCCATCATTATCACAGTCAGCAAAAGCAGCACGAACAACAGCAGCAAAACCATATAGCCCTCTCCGAGATGAATACTTTTCACTCAGCTTTATTATAATTTAAGTTATGATTAGATTCAATTCTATTTTAATGTAACCCTTATCTTACACTCCACAAATATTTGGCTACACAACACATTTCACACGAAAATATTTGTTTTATCCAAAACTTCATAAATGAAATTTTCGAATCAATTCCAGCACGATTTCGTCCCTGTCTTGTAATTTCAATCTTTCATTAAGGCGCTTTAACCAAGTTTACTGTTTTCAAGACCTCCTTCTGCAGTAATAATTTATTCTGATGCTCAATTTGCTATACTTGGAATAGCATGCATGCAATCTAACAGTTTTAGTTTCAATGAAGCAAATTTTATTTTAAACAAATGATTGTTAACAAGCAGAAGCAACGATAAATTCTTTCGAAACAGAGTTACACATCATAGTGAGAAAAAAGACAATCTAGAATTAAAAATCTATATCATCAAAATAATTCATGATTCTGGGATGCATTTTGAAATCCAGATTTCATTCTAATCACTGAGGTAGATTTTGTAACACACAAAAGTCATCACTACTTTGCTGAACACGTCCGGTCATCATCAGTAACTCAATGCTTTCCGGATCCCTAATAGCATCCTTGGTAAGCACTTCCACTGCGCCATTTGAATCAACTAAAATATCATCTTCGATACGCATACCAATACCACGAAACTCACTCCTTACTTTTTCATTGTCATGTCGCACGTAAATACCTGTAAATAAAAAAAAAAAAAAAAAAATCATCATTTTCATTCATTTGACTCTTTCTTATTGTCGTCAAGAGCATAATGATTCTAGCTTATAGCAAAATCTATAATAACTTTACCTGGTTCAACAGTGAATGCAACTCCTGCCTGTAAGGGAATATTGCGAGCCACAGAGGCAGTATCATGCACATCCATTCCTAGATAATGGCTGACATGATGAGGACAAATTCTATCTGCTTCCTGAAAAAAAGAAAATTACAAGTTTATCAGGTGACGGCTCGGACTTCTTTTATTTATTGATTACATTTGCACTTATCTGACAAGTTTTTTGAAAAATATTGGAAAAAAAAGGAGAATACTTACATATAACAGTTCCTCCTTTCCCATATTACTCGGAAACATTCCTACTTCAGAAAGATTTTTCGCAATATATTCGATCATTGCTAAATATATATCATTCAGTCTTAGTAACTCAGTTTGTCTAAGATATTCTAGGAGACGGGATTGAACGTCATTCAGTGCATCATAGATAGCTCTTTGTGGAACACTAAAATGACCAGAAATCGGGAAAACCCGCGTGATGTCGCTTGAATAACCTTCATAATCACAACCAGCATCGACAAGCATTGCATCACTACTACTGATAGCCTAAAATTCAAATTTTAAAAATGAAAAGCATACAAAGAAATCAAATTCATTGCAACTTGAAAAAAAAAAAACAAAAATAGAACCTTATTTGCATCCAGATAATGTATGATATTAGCACGATTGCCAGCAGCTACTACCGGTGGATAAGCAAGACCAGCAGCACCACGACGTCGCATCTCTAGCTCTAATCGTCCGACAATTTCATTTTCATTACTAACTCCTCGACTTCTTGCTATCATTGCATTCATCGATTGTGCTCCAATGTAACAAGTTTGACGCATCAAATGTTGCTCAACTGACGATTTAATCCACCGCAAGGCATCAATATGTTCACGTACTGGCACAAACGTATTACACGCTGACAGCACCTTCAATTCGTTCATTCTATCCACTCGCTTAGTAAATTAGTAAACATACTACAATCTCGACAAAATTATATATATTCGACGAAATTATACTAGGATCTTCCAATCCTAACACACAATAAGACTGATTAGACGAAAAAACATATCGCATCGAAGTTATCAATTTTTAATTCAACTGTTGATTTTTCATAAATTTACCGACAATGTGTCAAATGAACAGATTAATCAAACTGAATTACGAGTTGCTATTACAAGCTAAAGAAAAAAAAAACAAAAAAACAAAAAGAACCAGGAAAACAAAAAACAAAAAAACCATCACCAGACAACCTCTACTCAATGTCAGGATGATGTTTCAAATTTCAAAAATTCTAACAAGCACATCATTAAAAAGTTACCTCAGGAAGACCATCCCTTACTGCATGAATTGTTGCAGCATCATATGAAACAGCGCAATCAACAGCATTTAATACTAGTTTTTGTAAGTCAGGAATTAGTTTATTTCGATCTTTGATTTCATCTAAACCACTGATATTTGCAATTTCAGTGGCACTTAATCCAGGACCTTCCCATAATGCTTGCTTATCAGAACGTTCTAGAAAAAAATACAGCAATAACATATGGACAGTTAAAAAAGTAAAGAATATTACACCTGCTTATTAATTAATATCTAAATAACTAGTCACATAAGAAATGAGATTAAGGGAATGATAACAAACCTTCTATATATAAAATTGATTTCGATTTCTGCTCTGATTCAGCTATTATAATGAGTACAGCGTCCGGCTGATTTAAACCGGTAAAGTATCGAAAATATGAACACTGATGGAATGGATATGGCACATCAGGAGCATAGAATTGACGTATAGCGGATCGCATAACCACAACTACACGTTTATTTCTGATTCCTGATACTGTATGTCGTAATTTGTTCACTAAATTGGAACGACGTTGCGTATACTCAGCAAGACTGATTGACTGCTTCATTGTTGTTACAGTAGCCATCGATGATGAAGATATCTTCCGAAAACATCGACATATCCCACCTATCATCTTACAAGAAAAAGAAAACCTTTTTCCCAAAGAATCAAATGATATGATAGTCTCGGATCCTACAAAAGGATAGTGTTCGAAACGGAAAATAGGTGATCTGGACGCCGATAAGCAAAAGCAGCAATGTATTTAAACCATCAAACGACACACTTCCACTGAAATCTAAAAATTTCCATTGATCAAATATTTTCACCAAATAAATTCATGGAATTTACATCGACTATTCCTGTGTTACAAATATATGGAAATAGCACTGTGAATAGAAGAATCTATGAAAAAAAAGCTAATTACGGAGCCGATTAAAGCCGGCTCAATACTAACATAGATCAACCCAACAGCAATGAATTTCTTGACCTTCCCACAACAAAGTTACACGGTGCAAAAGAGTCAACAAACCACAAAATGTCGAGAACTCTTTTGCAACAACAGCAACTAAGTTTTTGCACTGAACTAAGGTCTTCACCGTACCGAATAAACCTGAATGTGCAGCCAACAAAAAATCTCCACAATTAAACCTCATGAAATAATGCAGAACTAAGAATATAGCATAAATAACGTTTCTCCAACGTTGCAACCTACCACACAATTTCGGTATGTTCTCTCTAGAACCATATAATTTGTTCAGGACTTAGAAATTAAAGTTCTAAAAACACGCACTAAATTAAACTGAGGCACCGTCGTGGAATTATAAGCACCAGCAGCAATAAAAATTCGCAGCTGCAATCAAAATATTTCAAAAAAAGCAAAAGGAGGAAGAAAATAAGTACTGATTGCGTCAAGTGTATAGAACGGTTTATTCCGGTATAGTAACAAGATTCATTTAAAAAAAATAATCACAATTTTGGAGCTAAATTCTGCCTCTTCAGTTCGTTACACAGTGTTTTCTCTTTCTATTTTTTTTTCAAAAAACAACCCGATCGGATATTCAAATGAAATCCCTATTGAATGTGTAATATTCACAATGCTACCATATCAAGGAAGAAAACGGGAAACTTGAAGTTGAGAGAAATGAAATTCAATTCAAGTAAAACGTGAATACGTATATATAAACGACTAATAAAGGTAAAGGTAAGTGCAAATGACGCTGACGAACAAAAAAAAAAATGGAATTACAAGAGATGCGCAAACCATCAAAAATCAGGCTGAAATTACGAAAAAAAAAAAAAAAAAAAGAAAAACATAAATTCTCATAAAATCTAATGAATGCAATGAGGAAAAGGAAACTTAATAAAATATAAGATACAGTTAACAGTTAGTTTAGAGGAGATTGCAACATTTGCCATGCTTAACATAACACACACATACTCACATATATATGCACTTATAGAGCATGAATATGATAATTACTAGCACTCATAGTGAGGCGACAGCTAATTCTTCCGTTTAACTTTTCTTCCTCTTTTACAATAAACAATAGTAATCTACGACGCGCTCCAATGTTGTGGTCCACCCCCGTATGCTTTCTTGTGGCCATGTAACGGTATCTGTTGTGACATATATCCCTGTGTTTGATACACTTGCGGCGGCGGTGTTGCTTGCGCACCTCCTCCTAGACGATCCTTTGCATTAGTCGAACTTCCGTACTTATCCAATTGTTGATGACCCTGGTAGACCTACAACAATAGCGAATAACCACAAATAAGAAATATTATGCTCAAAATAGAAACCGATGACTAGCCACAAACTTAACAGTTTTAATGTCAGAAATTTATATATTCCTCCAACCTTTTGCTGTTGAGAAGAAAGACGTTGGTCCGAAAGGGAATCCTCAACATTTTGTTGCGCAAACATTTGGTGATTTATTTTATGCTGTCCATTTGTAACATTTGGCAACATAAACGAGAATGGCAGCTGATTGATTTGTGGATGATAAGCAGCCGGTGGTACCTGAAATAACATGTTTTATTCTAAAAAGGTAAAAGTTATTTTCGTTGCAAATCAGGGAACTGAACCATAGGAAATCTTTGCTTTCAACGGCATCTTAATATTTCCATGAAATCTTATAAGCTGATTCTAAAATACAACACAAAACACCACAAACTTGAAATATCGAATTGATGTGATTGTGCTGAGGAAGTGTAAAAGCAGCAGCTGGTGGACCACTGAAACCTGGCGGTGGAGCGACCGCAGAACTGTTTACTGTAGCTGAATCACGTTGTTGTTGATTACCCAATATACCAGAGCCGGTTCCGCTTGCTATTGTACTGTTTGCTGCTGCTGCCGCAGCAGTTGCCAAATAAGCCTAAAAACTACACATGAGGAAAAAGGTCATAATTTTAGATATTTAAACTGCAAAACATCAGTCATAAATGCTTGCGCGCTTTAAATTAAACAGCATTATACTTTCGAGAGATCAACAATGCTAGGATGCTGGTCCGGTCGCTGCTGATGTTGTGACTGAACTGGAGGTGGCGGTTGATTTTGCTGTTGTTGTGAAGCAATAGCTGCTGCTGGAGGCAACATTGTTGACAAGGAGTTCATATCAAATTGCCCAACTCCTGAAACACAGGCCAGAGTTAGTTCACTGCTAATGCTTCCTTCTTAGTGACCTACAAATTAGTAAACACTAACCAAATGGATACTGCACCAACGCTGCAGCATACTCATCTTGTCGTACTCCTGCCATTGGACTGTACATATTTAGGTATGGATAATTAGCATACGGCAATTGCGTTGTAGTGTAAAGTGCATGTGGTGCTTGCTGCAAAATTATTAAGAAGTTAGATTTGAAAAATCAATACCAATAACTTAGTGAACGCTAGAGATTATAACACATTCAAACTAAATCGAATGTCAGGTCAATATATTCTACGTATTTAAAATCATTATACATATTGAGTCTATTATTACTTACCTGCTGATGATGTAATGAAAGCGGTAACTTCGCCGCATTTCGATTATCAGATGCAGGATATGACATACAGGATGTATCAGCATATGATAAGCCGGATGTAACTGGCTGACGCTGAATTGGGTTTGCTTGATGCACTGCAGGTGAAGACTGAGGCATAGAAACATTACCGTTACCAGTTGATATCTGAAATGATATTCGAATTTACGTCTTATGTCATAACTTCTTCCCTTTATAATCTTGTAAATCCTATATTTTTGACACGAATTTCTCAACTTATCCTTCTGTTTAAATGACATCTCGCTTCTGCGCAATTTTCTTCCAAAGAAAAATCACAAAATTCGATAAGAATGTTAACGAAGCTAAATGTCATAGAAAACGAAGCTTTCTATGAAGACAAATAAATAAACTTTGATCAAAATGACAACTTAGTTGGGAAACTACATCGAAATATATACCTTCGATTGTTGTGAATTCAATGACGATGAATAATCACCTACTTGGCCATTTGAAAGCATGGATGATGAGTCCGCGTTCATTTCAGTCTGAAATAAAACTAATGTTTTGAAAATAATTCTATCTGTGCCTACACACCCACTTCCTAATATTACTATCAGAATGCTGGGCTAGGTAATTTGAAACATGTTTTTTTTTTTCGAATAATGAGAATTGAATGACCATGATATACGCTTAAAATTTATATTCCTTGAGAAATTTCACAACGATATTCACATATAAAGTGATATAAATGATGAATAAATGAGGACAATGTGGAGAAATCCACACGCCTAATCCTATTATTTTACAAAAAACAAAAGACAAACATACTACTTTGGCAGTATGGTTATTCAAGGGCCGTGATTTAGCAGATGCACTGTAGACATCATCAGCATGCTCATCACTTCCCGTTGCTGAATCAACATGAAAACCGAACTGATATTCGGGTAACGTTGGGCCATTTGCTTCTCCGGATACAAATTCCACAGTATTTGAATGGGTAGTATGCCGAGAAGCTGCTCGCGGAACTTGTCCTGCTTTCGTATTTTGTAAGGATGATTTGGACATTAAACCTGAATGATTTGCACTTGATTTCGTAGCAGGAGCAGTACCACCAATTCCAAGATCATTTTTCAACTGTGCAGTCCAATCTGCTGACGTATTTGTCACAGTGGTAACAGCTGCATTCGCTCGAGATTGTTGTGATGCCCCTGCTGCATGCATTGTCGTTCCCACAACGGAATTTGTTGATACAGATGCATCATGCCCAGCTAATGGTGATGTTCGAGTTTCACGTCCTTTATCTATTTCTTCTGAAGAAGCTGATAATTGACCACTTGTTGAGACGAGCCCACTGCTGAAACAAGTTTTAAAATCAAGTGCTGAAAAATAATCTGAAGAAAAAGAAGCCATTACTTACTAGGATCGCATGCAAAAAGCAGCTTACTAAGAAAATATGCACCCAATTATATTGCTAATCTGTTTAAGGTTTCTTCATAACTATATGCATGCCATTCTTGTCAAATAATTTTCGTTTCGTATGAACAAGAAAGAACAATTTATAGTAATCATTATCGGAAGTTCAATGTTTCCATACATATGAATTCTAAAGATCCCATTTAATTCCAAATGTTCTTTTCATCAGAATATCATGAGCACTAAAGAACTACTTCGATTAGTTACGAAATGCATTAAATCGTAGAAAGTCAAAAAAATCCAAATAATAAAGAGTACTTCTGATAAAGTGAATTCACATTCTCAAGTTGTGATTGTCCCAACGCTGGTGGTGCGCCCGTTCCAGAGCGACCCAGAGAATTTTTTAACGCATTTTCTTTTACTTTATTAGTTCCGGAAGCTGCAACAGCAGCAAATGACACTGGTCCAGAACTTGTTATCGAGCTCATCCCAGCGCCTGTATTCACCGTAGGTGTTGTAGTAACTGGTGGTGTGGTACTACGTGAAAATACCAGTGTACCGTGTTGCTTCTGAAGGACTGAATATATTTCTTAAAGAAAATTTTAAAACCAGAATAGAGTAATATCAAATTTTAAGAGGAAACCGAAAAAGTGGAGCTATATTTAACAATCATACGAATAACCATACCCATTCCGTATCTTCAGCGTTATCGTCAACAGCAACTGCGCTTGCATTTTTCCATTCCTTACTAGGGTCTACCTTCAATGCCTGCGAATTATCCCAAACGTTACTTGCTGTATTACTGCCAAGCTGTCCTTGAGATGACGGGTGATGATATCCACCTCTATATGGACGACCACCGCCACGTCCACCTCGATAACCATTACGCCCTCGTTCTACTCCTCGCCCTCGTCCATATCCTAACAAAATGAATTTTTTGTATACATTTTGTATTTTTATATGTGTGGTGTTTGCAGCTATAAAAAATCCAATAAAAAAAAGCAATAATAAATCCAATAAAAAAGCTTCAAAAAGAACCGCTAAATATTAACAAATTTCACATTTCCATTACAATATGACTTATATTTCTTGAGAAATTATGCAACGCAAAATATGAGTTTAAATACACAAATTTTGGCATTTAATGTCGTGGTTCCATTTCTACCTAACATGCGTTACTGAATGGGTGCAAAACTCAGTAAGACTAGCAAGAACTATCCTGCTAGTATTAGTTACCTCAATAATAATAGTGATAAAGATAAACAAGAAAGAATACTAAAAAAGTGCTACCAAAATTAGTCGATGTTCTTGTACTGTTAATTCGGTTCCTATGAGAATTTGATTCCTCATGCTTTAATTCCTCAGCTTCGGCTCGTTTTGCTCGCCTGCTTTTTTGTTCTTTCCAGACATTTTCATCTGGATAATTATCTTCCAAAATGGCATTTACTGCTTCTTGAACATCGTTATTATTATCGTAAAGAGCAATTTCAGCTTGGCTTACGGTACATCTTGTTGTCTCCACTACCTAAAATTTGCGCATTCAGTATTCAAACACCAGACTTGCTGATGGGAAGATTTGATTATTCAAAAACCGTACCTTATGTGGAACACATCGCAATGATTCTGCAAGGATTCACTACAGGTATTAATTACAGAGCGAAATTAGCCTCGAAATCACATAAGAATACTAGTAAATGATTTTTACCTTTTTCACAAGCTTCTGTATATTCGCACGATCATCATCTGTTATGGACAAGTCCTGGGTTAATCTGGCAAGCCGTAACTGGTCTTGTGTAGCACGGATCTTTTGATCGCCTACTTCACCTTTGCCGCCCATTTTATATCAAATTCAGCAACTGGAAATCAAACCTGAAGTGATTTATTTGTGGTTTTATACCACTTATACTTTTGAACATCGCCAAACATGAATCCAACCCAAAAAATCCACCAAATTTCCGAAAAATGGAACTTGAAGACAACATATTTGAAAAAAAATATCAACAATGAGTCTTCTTGTCTTGTAATCGATTCAATCGACGAAAAAAATTGATGATATCATATGATCACAGACAAATATTATTAGCATGTCCATTTTATTATCTAGCAAAAATAATCTCAATAAATGACTTTTAAATCCAATGCTGAAATAAATTCTACCAAACAACGGAGAAAGAGGTGTTTACACACAACAGAGCCATGCATTATGCAAATTGTGGAACACAAGTGCATGTGAGTGATGTTATATCTTGTTTGAATGTCCACATGATCACTTCGACGTACGAACACGTGAAAAACCCCGCCCAATCTAGCGTAATCACCAAAGTCATCTAGCCCGTGTCCAGTATGCAACTGCTCTCTCTCTCTCCCCTTACCCATACTGACAGATTCCTGAATTTATCAAAGTTATCGCTTTAAGATCCGTAGCAAAGCTATAATTTTAAACATCTTTCAAATAGTTTGCTTTCCACTGCTACAGCACTAAAGCAATCTATTCCACGTCTTTCACACGTTTTACGGATAGCTCCACGTGGTCTTATACGTGATACACGCGTTGGCATAGCGTTGTTTTAGATGGCTTCATTATAGTCTATTTATTAATGGTTTAAATTATCATTAGTAAAGCGTGAATTCATTAACGGTTACTTATTTGTCAAATTGAAAATTACCATTTAAACGGATTGGGAAATTTTCAAATCTTTCTACTGGATTTTGCAGTGATTGAGTTATTCTGTTTGAATAGCCTCTCTGTACCAAATGATATCTCCCTAAGTGTGTCTCCCCACGTGTCTCAGTAAATGTCATGCAACAGTGAAACAATTTGTAAGAAATTTCCTTAGATTTGAAACTTCAGAATATCCTGTCATTGAGTAAATACAAATATTGTTTATTCTCATCTTCTGCTGAACATTCGTAGTGCATAATTCTACTTTCGCAAGCAGAATTATGCACTACAAATACACGAAATTATGAAAATGAAATTTTACGACAATGATTAAAATCTGATAATAATAATTTATTAGAACCAGTATTAAGTTGGTAGATGATCATCCCTGAAGATTACATTTCAGTAAGATATACTAAAACTTATTACGCCTTCGAAGAAGTTTCGTGTATTTGTAGTGCATAATTCTGCTTGCGAAAGTAGAATTATGCACTTCAAAGAAGAATGTATTTAGAAAATTTCAAGAATGGAGCTAACAAAAATTCGAAAAGTTGTATTCATTATGTTCAGCATTTCAGGACTGATTCAGTGAATGGCTATGAAGAAGCAAGCATCTCTACTTTCATTTTTCACCAGAAGTCCAAATCCGAAAAATGCGTTGCAAGATGAATCCATCGGAAATCAAACGGTCAGCGAAATTTTAATCCATTGAAAAGAATCTTATTATCCATTGAAAAATTGTATTGAAAAGGAAAAAAAAAATGAATCTCAAGTAAATAAAAGAGCAATGTTCCGATGAAAAGAGTAGCTCTAAATTATCGATTCGCAACTTAGTCTCTCCCTGTAGATTCGAAGGTTATCCCGCCTACCTGGGAGTCCCCATCTGTTCCCACCTTTTAGAGATCAGTTAGAATAAAAAAAAGAATAAATCAGCAGAGAATTAGAAGAAATGTAAAATAAGAAGGAAATAGCAAGTTATTTTGGAAATTGAATTAATGGTCAGAAATAAATTTAAGTAATGTGAAATGAAATACTGATAGAATGAGCTATCAAAATTAAGGAAATTATTACTCGACTCAGAATTTCTGGTTAAAAGGACTAAAAATCAGCATATATTCTATTGGTCACATACTTTTTAAATATATTTAGTTGCAGTGCAGTTCAGTACTTCAAACTTTGAATTCCTAATTTTTGTGTTTTATAAATAAGAATTTATGAAACTCGATATTTTGCAGACCAGTTCTACTCCTCCCAAAGTTTCAAAAATGCAGAAGAATATTAATGGGGACAATGATATCCGGATGGAAGATGTCACTAAAAGTGCTTAATTTAAATTATTTTAAATAGTTTTTAAAAGACATTAGCATACTAGACTTATTTGAAAAAACGGATTTTGTCGACACTGGAATTATAGCTAACTTTGATTCATTTCCATTATAAAATTTTACATCCGCAAAAACGCAAAAAAAAAAAAAAAAGTTTTTCATGCAAATCTACCAAATATTACAGTTGTTAACATGACTTATTTATTTTGAGATAGACAGTTATTCATTAACTAGCAGTACGTAAAATGTTTTAAATTAATCATTTACCTACTAACATTTTTCATCTAGATTTAAACATTAGTTCTGCACAAGTGAAGAGACTAAATTTAATGAATCAGATAAATTAAATTAAATTTTTGAAGTTTTAAGGTCTTTTTCAACTAATAGGTTGTATTATCCACAATACTGGTGTCTTAGATTTGATGAAAAAAAAAAAAATCTAATTTATATTGTATGCATTCATTGAGGTCCACATTCGAAAAGACCATCAAATGAAGAGCTATCATTAGTGAAAAAGTCATGCAAAAAACGTCGCCGTGTGGTGGTTTCATCAGATTCAGAAGATAATGATGTTGAAATGATGGATATGAAACATAATGAGGAAAATATAAAACAAAGCATAAGATATAAGTCGGTAAGGAGCAGTTTGCTGTTCAAATGGTTTATAAAATTTTTCATTACCGAATAATAGTAGTTGAAATTTTGAGGCGAAAAGTAAATTGTAAAAATAAATTCGAGTTATTGGAATTAGAAATTTTGACCTTAAATACCTTGACAAGAAGTTACTTTGCATTTGGTTCGAAGCGTATTGGAGTTTCATACATTAATTATATGGATCTAACATGAAAAAAAGAAAAAAACTTAGGTTTGAATTATATACTAATGACTAGCGTAAAATTTGGTTCAGAAACTGTTTTTTTTTTTCTTTTAGAAGTCTCCTGAAAGTGAAAATAGTTCTTCGGAAACCATATCTTCAAAGCATGATGTGAGCGAGATGGCTATATCGTTTATCAATTCATTTCGCGCCACAGAGCAGGTCTGTGTTAAGTAACTAATTGATTCTTTTAATAAACTGACAAAATTACTCATATTTATTTCCGTGGATCCTGAGCAAAGTTTAAAATAAAAGATGCTTTAACTAAAGTTCTTTCTCACATGAAGTCAAATATACGCTGAGTAAATATTTATAAAGTTTTGTGAATGCTGAGCAAACACTTATAAAGTTCTATGAATATGTGTTCTGAACCATCCTACATTACTAGTAAAGATTCGAGATTTTTAGAACGTGAAGTAAACGAAATTTTCCAATTCAAAGTCCTCAGGAATTTAATAAATGTTAGTTGCAATTAATTTTTTAGTCATATGTATTTAGGATTCATCTGTGTCAGCATCAAAATTAGATCGTTCAAGTGATAGGGATATGCCGGATGAAAACGCATCTCCTGCATGTTTGGATACTGAGACCGATGTTGATTCTATGCGGTTTCCTCATTTAGACTTCGATTTTCTTCAACCAGATCGCATTCGGGATGCAGATAAACGTTTGCGTAGTCATCCAGATTATTGTCCGCGTACTTTATTTGTACCGGATGCGTTCATGAAAAAGCAAACGCCGGGTATGACTTCCAGCAGACTATAAAGTTTGAACCAGTAAAATTTGCAGATTTAGAGGACTAAAATAATAAAAATGATGATATAGATTTAGATTTCGACCGGCTTTCTTATTTTTCATAAATAACTGTTTTATTATAAATGATGACCTTCGAAGTATTTTTAGGACATCGACAGTGGTGGGCAGCTAAGTCGGCTTATTTTGATACAGTATTGTTTTTTAAAGTTGGAAAGTTTTACGAAATGTATCACATGGACGCTGTAATTGGAGTCGAAAATTTAAACCTCAATTACATGAGAGTCAGTTAAATTTAACTGATTTAATAAGCTATTCATTGGCTCATTTCTAAGTCATTTTTAATGAAAGCCAAACTTGTAAAAGAGGTTGTCAAAGTTGGATTTCTTCAGGGTAGTTTTGCGCATTGTGGATTTCCAGAAGTTGCTTACGGTCGTTTTGCTGATCAGCTGGTTAATCGAGGATATAAAGTTGCCCGTGTGGAACAAACCGAAACACCAACGCAGTTGGAAAACCGAAATAAAAGCGAGAAAGTTAATGACAGAGTTGTGAAGAGGTATGATTTAATATAAATAGTTCACTGTTCCGAAATCTTTTTAACACAGTCGATCTCAATTCACATTATTTAGCTTCAAAGTATAAAATATCAGTTATAAATTTTAGAATATTTTACATAATTACATTACTAATTCTTATTGCTTTATTATGTGAATTAGCTTTTGCTATTTGTTCTCGAAGAAATTAATATAATTTTTTTTGCAAATTTGATACTTCTGCATGCACAGTGTTTTGCTTTCTTATGATTTAGAGAAGTGTGCAATATTACTACCTCAGGCACTCGGATATACGGAGTACTTGATGGAAATGATGATGAAAACATTATAGATGTGATGGACACAACAGCACGCTACTTGTATGCTATAGCTGAAAGGGTATTTGAATTTTAACAGTAGACTAACTTTCATTACTTTGTTTTGATTGATTAACTAGCCCAAATAAATTATTTTCAGGGTACGGAAAATGTAGAATATGGTGTCTGTTTCATTGACACTACCGTTGGTCGATTTTACGTATGTTTTTGCCTAAAAACCTAAAAAGTCGAAAAAAAAAAACTATATTACATTTTTCAAATTATTACGTTTTATATTATATTACGTTTTCAAATTGATATCTTTTAGTCATCTCACCTTTTTTATCTTTTAAAAAACCATTTCAGATTGGCT